CCCATCACCCTCCAAGCGCAGGATCGGCCCCTAGCCCAGGCCTGACGCCTCTGCCTGAGGCGTCAGGCCTGGGCAGGGGACCCTCATTTCCCCCCATCACTGGTTCTGCCCCCAGCCCAGGCCTGATGCCTCTGGCCCAGGCATCAGGCCTGGGCAGGGGCCCCCCAGCCCCTCCGATTGCTGGCTCTGCCCCTTGCCCAGGCCTAACGCCTCTGGCCTAGGCATCCGGCCCAGGCAGTGGGGACCTGCAGTGGCAGCGGCCCCGTGATCGTGGGCTTCGCTTTAGGCCCAGGGAAGGGACCTAGCTCCTGGGACTGCCAGCTTCGACCGTGCCCAGCTCCCATCGCTGGCTCCACCCCTACTTCCTGCTATCACTGGCCAGGGCGGCAAAAACTCCTGATTCTCCAATCATGGCTGGGAGGTAGGGCAAAGGCGGCCGAGGGCCAACTTTGCCCTGCCCCCCAGCTCTTAGCTCCCCGCTGGGTTTCTGATCACTGTCAGTGGCAGGGGGCTTCTTCCTGCTTTCCCTTTCGCCTCCCTGCATTGTGCCTACATATGCAAAGTAACCGCCATCTTGTTGGCAGTGAACTGCCAATCTTAGTTGGCAGTTAACTGTCAATCTTAGTTGGCAGTTAACTGCCAATCTTAGTTGGCAGTTACTTTTCATATAGCCCTAATTAGCCAATGAAAAGGGTATTGGTCGTACACCAATTACCATTTTTGTCTTTTATTAGATAGGATGTTAAAGGCTAAGTTGACTCATTCATGTGCGACATATATAAAGCTCTCACTGGCGGCACCAATCGCACACATGTGTTTCAATCTGTCATATTCGATCATGAATTTGGTTGACACTTCTATTATAGAGAAAGGGCAAATAGTGATATTAAAATATTTTTCTAATTAATTTCCTTTCAATGTGCACAAATTTGTGCACTGGGCCACTAGTTGGACTATAAATGAATTATCTGATTAAAACTGTACTACACAGATAGGTTTATGTACACACAATAACCAGTTAAACAATAACACAATCCATTTAAAATATAAATAAGATATTTTGTAAATCTTAAAAATAAAATTACCTAGAAAACTATAAGAATTATATGAAGCAAGAAAATATTTAAATAAATTGAAAGACATAATCTGCTGTTAGCCATCAAACCATAAGGTTAATTAATCCAAATAGAAATTTCATATTCTAAAATTACTGTGGAAAAATAAATGTCATAAAAGCCAATTTATATTTGAAAAAAAAATAGTAATCCTGGAGTACTTTTATTAAAACACACTGTAAATCTATAATAATTAAACCATCATGTTACTAGACCATAATAGGCAGGAATTAGAGAAGTATGTAATAAATTTCTAATATTTCTGGATAACTTTTTAATTTATTTATGCATGGGTAATTCCAAAAGTCATGGATATATCATAATGTATAAGACTATTTTGCTATAACAAGAATGGGAGCACAAATAATTGGCACATTATTCTTCTTGATGAAATTGAAATCCTTTGTGGTCATTTTTGTCCACAGGCCTTTTTTGAACATTTGGAGTTGGCTCGTGAAGATATAATGAGAAAGATAGGACTATATTCTTCTTCTTTATTTATGAATTATCAATGTACAAATAGTTTACCTCTTACTCTGAGCCCTGAAGGTATAATAATAAAGTTACAACCTCTTTCCTTTTTAAGCTCATAGGTCAGAAGGGAAACTCAGGTTATGTAAGTAACTATTATTCAATACAGTAAGTATTACATTAGCTTTATGAGGTTAAAAGAAGTAACAGTTCTTTCTGCCTGGAAATTGGCACCATAAGAAAGAAGTGCTTCACAGGCAAAGACATTATGTAGATCTCAAAAACCTTTGAAAAAAATAAGTAGAATTTTGCCAAGAAGAAAAGGAAAAGAGAAATCACTCAAAACAGAGAAGAAAATACTTTTGAATCCATTCAAGCATGGAAAAACACCGAATATGCAAGGAACTCTTCATGATCCGTTGAGGCAAGAGGACAGCATATCTGAAGGAGGGCAGCAGAAATGCCTAGGAAGGTAGACAGAGGACAGATTGTGAAGAAACTTGAGTACCAGGCTGAGGGATTTGGTCATTACTTCCTAAACCATCCAAGTTTCTTTCTTTTGTTGTTGTTGTTTTTACAAGAAGGGCATGTAAAATACAGATACAAGACTCACTCAGAAGGAATTCTGTGAGAAATATAGCTTAATATCTGGTCTATCCTGTGGGCACCAGCACCTATAAAAGTCAGGCAGAGTCTCCCTTTTAACTAATTATGTATGTGAAGGTGCTTTGTAACTCAAGGCAAAAATGAAGAAAACAAAAAAATGTGTTGACAGTGACTGAAAGCATTCTTTAAGACAGCGCTTCTCAAGTGTGGATGCACATTGAAGTCATCAGGGGAACATGAAAAAATGCTGATGGCTGGGTCTCACCCCTGATTCAGGCTTAATTGGTCTGGGAAGCAGTCTGAGCACTGAGGATTTTTCAGAGCTTACATGGTGATACTCATATACATTCAAGTTTGAGAACTACTGCACTAAGAGAAAAAACTATTCTTTCTGCAATTCTGTAGTAATTATTTTTCTCAAATGTGTGCATGTTTCATTTTATTTCTTCTTCCCTCTAAAATTCTCTTTTTAAATTTATGATATGTCATATAACCAACATTGTCTTAGAAAGGAAGAGAAATAGTATATAAAATATAACTTAGAAACAATGAAATATAAAGGATATGGAGTTGCTGGTGATAATCCCTAATCAATGTGGCTGGTTTCTTGTTTGTCTCTGCATGTTATTCTGGTCAGCATTCTCTGCTGACACTGAACTGGCCCCCATACTGTTTTGCCTTCCAATGTCCATCCCTTGTTTTAGGCCACTTATTCCTACATTCTTGCTCAATCTGCAGGCTCTAATTTTTTGAGTCTATAGTCAATTATTTTTCATTGATTTCTACATAAAGTTTATCTCTTCTCCAGAACATTCAAAAAACTGTTGGCTGTAGTTTTACTAAAAAGGTATGGCAGTGGCGGGTTTAAAATTCTATTGGCTAGAAGAAATAATTTCCAATTTGGAGTGATTGCTGAAAACAGATGTCTCATTCTTATAGTGCTCATATCTCTCTCATCTCTCCCACTCTCCCATTCTCTCCCTCACTCCCTCACTCCCTCCCTTCCTCCCCCCATCTCCCTCTCTCACACACTCTCAACCCCAAAGGGACACTCACCAATCAAAATCTCAGAAAGAGCTTAGAGGTTTATTGTGAAAGATGAAGGTGAAACTGAGGGTAGACTTTTAATGTGACAAATGATGAGAACTATAGGAATCATAACTGCCCTAAGAATGTGCAGTGATACGGAAGAAAGGAAAACAAGACTGAGAGATATCTCAGAGTTGCTGTTAGGATTAGTGAATGGATGAACTTGTAATTTTGTGGTATAGTTGCTTTACTTTTTACCATTCTTCCCACTGTAATGTAAGCTCCATGGGCATAGGACCTTGGTTTATTGTTCACTATTGTATATCTACTGTCTAGTTCATTTTTCTTCTGCAGAGTATGTGTTTATCAAATATTTTCCAAGTAACTGAATTAATGTGGAGCAGCAAGTAAAAATAAAGGGTCAGATGTGTGATTTTCAGCATGATTCTAAATTCTCATTCACATATTCAGTGACAAACACTGAACAATAATCATGTTCACCAGGGAGATCTTGGTTAAATATTTGGAAAGCATATCCTAGGTACTTTAGTTAATGACCACCTCTACATTAGTCACTAATGTGACATAGCTGCAGAAATGACAGCATTAGGTCTGGAAATTCTTGTTCAGTTCAAAGAAGATAGTTATTCCATTGTGCTGTATTATTCATTTGCTGATGTGAAATCCATATTCCGAGAGTTATACCAGCTAATTAAGGCGTAGTCCAAAGAAGGCAACCATAGCAGAGGCTATGTCATTCGCAGAGCGGTTTAAAGCTTGAGAAATGATAGATGAAGAGCAAAGTATGAATAGAGCAGAATTCAAGGGATTGGATACTAGACCTAGTTTCAATGGCCATGGACAATTAAGTTGTCTTTTGGCTCCCGTAACCTCTTCTATTAAGAAAGGGGAAAGTCTTACTCTCTAAGATTTCTTCCAGCTATTTTATTTAAAAATCATAAATTTTCAATACTATGTGTCAACATGAGAATTACCTTCAAGTAATGAAGAGCTGCTCACATATAAAATTATTCTGGTTTGGTTGGTTTTATTTTAGAAAGTAGAATTATTCTTAAGAGGCAGGATTTACATGAGGAGATTTTAGTTCAACCTAAGGGATTTTTTTTTAACCATTATATTAATGCAATGAAAAGAGTCTTGTTGTGTAAAAGTAGTGATGCATGCTTCATTCATCACTCTCACGGCTATCATATAGGGAAATTACTCATCAGGTCAGAAAATGAACTTGGTAACACCTTTCAATTATTGTATATTTTGATTCTCCTAAGGTAGTCCCAAAGCAAGACTTCAAGCCCAGTGTTCTAACAAGCTTGTATGCCAGTATATTGAATTGAATAAATGATTTTCTTTTATCACAAAGTAAGAAGGGTGGATACATGGAGCAGCAAACTTCTTCTCTTTGATCCTCTTTATCATGTTCAGCAAGTTCAAGGTCAACTGCCGCCATTAATGATTCCCGTATTCCCTCCTGATCAACGGACACTGGCTGCAGCTGCCCAGCAAGGATTCCTCCTGCCTCCCGGCTTCAGCTACAAGGCTGGATGTAGTAAGTACCATTGAGTTTTCTCATTTGGGAGTGGGTGGAGGGTATAGCATTAAATCAGGCAATTTAACATTTCTGCCACACCAAGAAATGAGATCACCCATGTAGCATATTTATTTTAAAGGGGAAGCACATAGAAGGTATTGAAAGGATTCATGTGGGTATGTAAAAGAGCGCAGATTATTTCTGTGCTTCTGAAGCCAATATTTACTCTTTAGAATTAAGTCTCATAACTTCTATTTCCAGGGTATTCATAAAATATGAATCCTATAGTTTTCAAGTTTCATTTATTTTTACATAGGTACGATAGGAATATGCTTTCCAATAACTTTCCATTGTTTTTGTTTTTTTAAAGATAAACCCACGTTTTCTAATGTGAATTAGTTTTAGTTGGCCTTCCATGATCTGTATCCACCCTATGTTTACAGCTTAATTTTTTCCTAGTCTTCTTTTAGTTCCCAGACCAAACTTCTTTCTTAACTCTGGACTGGCATTTTGAGTGTTCACTCTCCTTGATGTTCTAAACCCCTTTTCACTCAGAACAGGGAGAGCTTGCCTGTTAGATCTCTTTTGTCTGGTTTCTTTGGATCTTGGATTTACAGGCGTGGGAAAATATAAGTTTATGTATGATTATATTGTACTAATAATGCAATAATAAATCAATAAATAAAAATACAATAATAAACTCGCATACTCACAACAGTACACCTACTTTTTCCCACCCTGTATTTTCTCTTTCCTTTTAATTAAAAGCTCTATGAGAGCAGGTGCTTATATTATCTTATTTATTGTTGTATCTAAACTTTTATTATAACATTCAACTATTTATTGAATGATTGTATGAATAATGAATGAGTCCTTTTACAAACACTACAAGGGCATTTTTGCTCTCAGTGATGAGTTACCAGGATAACGGTTTATATTTCTTATTAACTTTACATGCCTGTTATTTTGACTTTTTTTTTTTTACCAAAACCAAAATTGCACGTTGTTACATTGTTAGTTTTAGAAACAATCAAATACTTCATTTTTTAAAAATTTACATCACCAAAATGTCAACTATAATGTGTTAAATAAAAATAGTAAGTTCCAAAAAGTGGCTAAATTAATAAGCTAAATACCTTCTAAAATATCATTACTATGCCTAGAAAGATTATAGGGAAAGCAAGCTTATTGAAATATTTTTCATTGATTAAAGCAGAACACCAATGAAAACAATTAGTGAAATAATATCACTTTAGATATTTATGCAGAATATCATTTTATAAATAACAATAGATTTTGGTTCATTTATATGTTAATAAATAAATATGTTATATGTTAATATGTTCCATTAGCATCTTGCTATGCTTCATTATTTATTACATTTGCAAAACTCTAGCCACCATTAATAGAAATCATATCTAAGTTTCCTGTTAAATGATGTTTTGAATTTTCATATTTAGTATTTATGTCTAGTCTTTAAACCTTTCAATATATAATATTGAAAAAATGAAATATAATTTTTCAAATATACAAAGTAATTTGGGATGAGTAATTGTAACTTGAAGTCTAAATAAAAAGTGAACTGAACTCAGGACTATAAAAATTCACTTCTATGGTTTTGTGGGTTTTACACTGTGTTTTCACATCTTTTTCCTTTTTCTTTTTCTTTTTTTTTACTTTGGTTTTCTATTTTTTAAGATAATGTTCTCACTCTGGATTTTTAATTTATTCATTTAATATTATTTGCCACATCATTCTTTCTTTGTAGATCGATTCATCAAGAAACACCAACTTTTAAAAATAAATAATTTGGGGTTCTATTTACATTGTAAATGTTTAAATTCTAGGAATAATTTAAATTCTAAAAATAGAATGTTCAGTTCTATTGCTACACTAAATTCTGAGATTTTAATTATAAAGATTTTGTTTTCTTTCCATTTTCCTAAGGAACTTCTATTCACATTAAGCAAATGTTGCAATATAGTTTTGGTAACCTTGGCTACTAAAATGAAAAAAGACACTTTTAAAAGTCATCAGTTGCCTTAGACTGCACCTGCAATATATATATATAGACTAGTTCTGTTTTCCAAAAAGAAAATTTTTAAGCAACTATAGAAAAAAAGTCCCATTAGCAATTATTGTGCTGAAGAGAAAACCACATTGAGCATGAACAATAGCATAACTGTAGGCTTGGAAAAGGTCAAGAACACCTCAGCCTCACTCCCGTTTGACAGAGTTGGCATACTAAATTTGTTCAGTGTGACTGTAACGTGGCATGCAGAAATTTTTCCTTTCCTACAATTGTGAGTGTATTAACCATTTGATACTCATACCCGGAGTGCTTGAAGTTATAAAACGATACCACTTCTAATAAAATAGAGTAAGATCTCCATAGTTGGGGGCAACCTTGAAATGAGCATCATGCCAAACTCTAAAACTAAGAAGCCAATAGCAAAAGAAAGTGGCACTGCTTGTTGACACCGTGGCAGGGTGAATCGGTTTGATTGAGGAGGTGGGTGGAAGCAGTAAGTAGTGCAAACTACTTCCTACCTAGTCACACTGTGGCAAGGAGTAGCGGTAGGGAGACAAGGTAATCTAACATCTCCTCTCTTCAGTGGGCCTTCACTTTTATTCCTCTCATAATTGTCACCCACGTGTGACTTCTCTGGTTTCAGCTGTTTCGAGTGATATTAATAGTGTCAATGAAAGAGACTGCCTAGTCCATCTTGATTTGAGTTCCAAGTAAATGTATACCATTTGTTGGTATCAAAAACTCAAATATTTTTTTATCAATCCATAGAAAGTATCGATGATAAATTTTCCTGTTTAGACTATGACCTGATAAAATAAATAAAACGAAAACCTATGGAATCTTATGAAAAACTAATATGTTCTCAACAGGGAAGTAATAAACAAAATTACAGGTCAGGTGACTTAACCATCATACATTTCGCTAACATCTGTTTCTGAAAATAATACGCTTTTTGTTGGACATAAGGATATTTTCCCTTTAAGATATATAATGGTAGAATCAGAAAAAATAGTGTGGAATATAGCTGTACATCATTACACAATATAAGAAAAAATTCCAGTTTTAAATTATATTTATGGGCACTAGCTCATTTTAATCAGAAAACAATCATTACAGTCCTGAAATAAACTTGAAAATCTAAACACCAAGATTCCGATTCTGAATTATAAAATAAGTGGGTCGTCAAATGAATTGGTTCAAGTACACTTTGGGTGGCAAAAGAGTCTAAGGACATCGTGGATTTGGAATCGTTTTACCTTATTCTTCTACTTTGATTGTCCTTGTACAAGCTACTGAGCATCAGCTCCCTCATCTGCAAAATGGATTAGTAACACCCATTCTACTAAATCATTAAAGATTAAATAGGATTATATGTGAAACAGGGTCTACCACTGTGCCTCTTATTAAATTATTTATAAATGATAAATACTGAGTATAATGCTGGGAAAACACAGATCCTATTTTTTTTTTTTAAAAAAAAAGAAGATTCTTTTCTAAAACCCCACCCAGCCATTAATTGCATTTTATATCCTATCTGGGATCACATTCATTCTACCACACCTGCATGAAGCTTCCTCTAACTAGGAAAACTTAATTGTTTAGAGAAAAGTATTACAGTGCTGATGGAAACACTTATGTCATGTAGATATAACCTTAACCTGAACTATCTTCATTATAATCACTAACTTTTAATCTTTTCTATTGTCACTTTCCACTTGTCTATCAGAGCTCAAGTTGGAAAAGATCATGTGATTAAAAAATGTATGGAATTGTTTTGGCTGTAGGAAACTAGAAATGTATTCACATACTCATTCTGCATTCTAGCACATTGATTAATGTTTCAGAAATGTGCTAAATAAAATGGCCACATAAAGTTACTGATTGAAATATTTAATTGCCTTATGAGATTAGCTTAAATAAATAGAAGTCGATGAGCCAAGCTTAATAAACTTAAAATATGTTGTATTTACTCTTCATCGCTTTTCTGAACAGTATTTCCGCTTTCAATAAAAAAGGAAACTCAGTTAATTAATTCCTCATACGCCACAATAAAATTAATGTTTAGGAGTTAAATACCATAAACTTCCTCAGGCATATTTGCTGATGTGTTCCTGTTTTCAGTTAATGTCACATGTTTCATTGTTTAATGGAGCTATCATGTGGGTCCTATTATATCTCTCTGCGGAAAGGGTCCATGTGTCTGGCATTTTAGGAGGCTGCATGCTAATTTCTGGTAACCGCGTCAGCTGACACACAGGTCACCGACAGTCAGTGCTGAAACAATCGCCATATCACAAGCTAAACACCACTGACATGGTATGTCTTTATCAAACTGACCAAATAGGAAACATGTGTTGTCAGGTTTGCATAATGTAGGTTCTGGGTAAGTAAGCAGAGAGAAGAGGTTGCAGTCATAGCTCAGGCTTCTGTGTGTGTGTCCATGAGAATTATTGTGACCAGCTCTTCCCTTATCCTACCCCCCAACCCTCCATCTTATAAATCAGACTTTGGGCACACCTGACTTAGTTATAAATATCTGTATTTTAATTTTATATTTCCTTTTTTCATTTTTACTTTTTCAATTGAAGTTTACATGTAATATTATTTTGTATTTGTTTTAGGTGTACAGCATAGTTGTTAAATAACCATATACTTTACAAAGTGTTCCCCCGATATTTTCAGTACCCACCTAACACCATATTGCAATATTAATGACTATATTTTCTATGCTGCACTTTACATCCCATGACTATTTTGTAACTACCAATCTGTACTTCTCAATCCCTTCACCTCTTTCAACCAGTCCCCCAACTCCCATCCATCTGGCAACCATCGGTCTGTTTTCTGTATAAATATTTATATTTTTAAAGGATTGCTTTGGTACCTGAACAGCCAATCATTTAAATTTCCATCTGAAGGAAGTTAGATTGATGGATTAAGAATATGAAATGATTAAAAAGTAAAAAGAACTGAGTATATAAAACAT